AAATCTATTCATATGTACTTGTATAATATTGGTTAACAAAAAAAGTAAATTTTTACTTTAATATAGTTGAAAAGGATTCACTTCTGTGTTATAATAAAACATATTTCTGTCCATTTAATGAACTGGTTTTCTCACAATACAGATTTCTTGCATACCCTACAGACAAAACTTTTTGATATAACTTAGAGTAGATGTATTTTTTTTTCATTTGTCTCACCAGATGCAAGTGTCTTCAGTGATGACCTGTCGTATTTCTTCACCCAGCTTTCATCATATTTCAGGAGTAATCGGATGGCAGTCGGAGCTCCATAAAACTGGTTTATTCTTAATCTCTGAACCGTTTCCCAGTAACGACCTGAAAACGACCACAACGCACATTCTTGCATCAAAACGGTGAACCAGGTTTAATCAATACTATTGGAATTATGAAAGCCAATCATGATCATGACCACCATGAAAAATATTATCAGTAAAGCACATCAAAAGAATTTTTCCCTATTGTGATACGGGAAGCTGCCTTACAGCTATCTATTCATTTCCATTACAATACACCCGTAAAGGCAGATAAGACTCAGGTTATTGTGTAACAGCATTATTTGAGAACTGAACAAAACTGGGATATTAAGACTATCTGACATGATCCAGAGAGATCACTGCATTTATAAAAAATGATGAAAAGAGAAACAGAACCATTAATATTATAGACTTAGTATATTCTATTTTTAAACTAGACAACTTCCTAGTAACCATGGTAAAATTGGAATTAAATTTCCTAAATATCACAAAATCTATGTTACTTGGGTGCTTAGCCAAGTCTTAGCCAGTGTGTCTCAAGGGCAGTGTTGTGCTCATAGACTGTAATGAAATATGGATGACATCACACCGCCTACTGCCATTTGGCTAATATGAGGCCACCACTGAGCTTTTCTTGACACCACAGCGCTGCCGTTGACAGTGTTATAGAATAGTTTAAGATCTATTTTATAACGGCTCTTGAGATATAGCACAGCACAGGACACAGCAATAGCAACAATTGATTTTATTGTAAACAGATAGACAATGACAATATGCCCATCTGCCCATCTTAACACGTGCGTGGTCTGAGGGTCACAGACCCATGTTGGGCACTTATATACACCCACAAAAGAGATCAAATTTAATTCTGGGTCACAGGATGACGTATTAGATCTTTGTATCTTTGGCCAAACAAGCTAAAATGATTTAGCATTAACTTTAACAACAGGACTAAATATAATTATTTTAATCGGTCACAATATGTGCAAACAATGTGTGTTTTTTAGGGGAAAACTGTTTTGTGTATAATGGTTTATAAATGTTTTGTATGGGTCACAAACATGAGTAATATCTCTGCATCCTCACCTGGATTGGGGTATACAGGTGTGCTCTCAAACAAAACAGAAGTGGCTCCATTGCACAGCGGTCCGTACACTACGTAGCTGTGACCCGTTATCCATCCGATATCAGCCACACAGCCAAATACATCTCCAGGGGTGTAGTCAAACACATACTGCAGATAATAACATTCGATGGGACTGCATGTCTTTGAATGTGATACACTCTGCTCACGATAGGATACATACTTCCATATTATGTCCATGATCCAACATGCATCGCATTATTTTACACTATTTTTAACCAAATACCGTAACCAACATTGGAAAACAATGTAATTTATAATTTGATACCATCCACCACTAATGGGCAGTGTTAATGTTTGCATTAAGTCCTCTTTTTTTACTCTAAGTGATGAAGAGAGCGAATTTCATAATCTTTCTTGCATAAAAAGTGAATAAATAATAATTGTCTCCAAGTATATATTACATAAAATAAGAAGACTTGATAAAGAAGTTTCAGAAGTAACTAGAATCACTATCACTCTAAGTTCAGCTCCTAGACGATATCTCCCAGATATGTATTGTGACAGTTTTGTATTGTGATATATTGTGCCACGGTACATTGTTACGCCCCTAAAATAGACTGAATGAAAGCATAACAAAATATCAAAATAATTTGCCAGAATGTATTAAAATTAACCACAGTGTAGCTATGTGTGAGTTAGTTGAGAGTTCCAGCTGTGACAGAATAGAAGAGACAGAGACCTGGTGAGTAAGGGAAGTGTAGAGCAGGTATCCCGCCTGTGTGTGTACAATGCCTTTAGGTTTGCCTGTGCTGCCTGAGGTGTAGAGCATGAAGAGCATGTCCTCACTGTCCATAGGCTCAGGATCACAAACCGGGGACTGTCTCGCCATCACCTTAAACAGACACAGGGTTTTCAGGACTCACATTTTAATGTTTTCACACTCCACAAACAGGTGACAATGTACTTCTAACGTGTCTACCTGGGATCTGGCTGATTTACCTCTTCTAATGGAACATCTAGTTTGCTCATTGGAACATCGTTGTCTGTTCTTTTAGCCACAAACACATGCCGGACAGATGGACAGCTCTTTACTGCTTTATCCACTGTAGACTTCAGATTGAAGACTCTTCCCCCTCTCACGCCTTGGTTGCATGTGATGACAAACTTGCATTGAGCTGTGTGTGAAATAGAAAGAAAAACCTGATGTACAGCATAAATACTGCATATTAATCGAGACTTGGATCATCAGGATAATGATAACATTTTAAAGAGAAGCAGATGTTATATTTAAGAACTATCGAAGTATAAAGAAATGTCACAATAGCCGGCTGTTGGATAATGTTCTTTCACTTTATAGCCTTTAAGATGAAGGAAACATCTGCTCCTTGTCTGATTATATAAGATAATACAGGCATGTCGAAGAAAAAACACCCTAGACATGTTCCCTGACATCGTTTGCAGGCATCACTAGCTGTGTGTTGTGTACAAAATACCACAATGCAAAACACATCTGAAATCTAATGAGTCTGTTCCAGTTTCAAAGTCAAAATGAGACTTGGTTTTTGAGACTCTCTCCATGCACACCCTTCTCATACTTTCGCCTACCCCCGGTGGTATGCGTACCCACTGTTTTATTTTCTATTTAATAACACAATTGAAAATTTTATTAATGTTTTCTCAAAATGACCTATTAGTTTTATAACTGATCCTGTGTTCTGTAAAGTCTGTACATTTTATGGCAAACTATACAAAATTAGGTTACAAATTACAATTAGTTGGTTAATTAAATGTGAATTTGACATTTCAACATATTATTTAAAAGCATAATGTGTATAAATAGTCCTCTTAAATGAGGACTATTTATTTAAATAATTCTGATGAATTATATATATATATATTGAGCTTTAATTATAAACTTCAGAGTGAAAGCTGTGACTTCACAAAAATAGTTTGACACTGTTTGTTACTATAGCAACTGTCCTAGGATCATTTGCTGTTATAATCACCCTTTCATGAAATCTTACATAAACTGTTTTTTCTCTCTTGTAAGCTGCTTGTGCTTGCCCCTCCCCCATTGCCCCAGCAACCCTGGACCCTTACACAGACAGCCAATCACAATAGCTAATCTTCACTTTTCATCACACTCGTATGTTCATAAACTTAAAAACCAGTGTTGCGTCAAACTTTTTAATGAGGGACCAATACTAGACCAAAATATATGCTGTTCCTATCATGTGATATGAAGGTTTTATGCCAATAACAGCTAAAATAAAGGCAATCTTTTACTCACCATCTTGAATTCTTCCAGCCAGTGCTTCTGAGCTGAATCCAGCAAACACCACAGTATGTACTGCACCAATCCGGGCACAAGCCAACATGGCTGCTACTGCTATTGGAGACACAGGCAGATAGATGGCCACCCGCTCTCCTCTTTGTACTCCATGGCTCTTTAGTGTGTTGGCAATACGACACGTCATCTCCAGAAGCTCCCTGAGATTTGAACATTTTACAGTTAGAAAACCATGTGTATAGGTGGTATAACTGTTCATTTTATGTCAGAACATGATTGGTTCATATAAACTATTAGACTTGGGATTGCTTGGTGGAAACATTTATCTCTTATGAAAATAATCACACAAATCATGATGTTTTCAAGCTTTTCTTGATCTCCATATGGCTTTGAGAACACTCTCACTTTCAGAACTAAAGCATACAATGTCTTTGCATTTCCTGCAGGACGTAGATGTGCACGTGAGCATTGGTTGTGTAACTTCCCTCCTACTTATGCACAAAACCCCATGACATTATCCCTATCTGCCCTTGAGCAAGATATACTCGGAATCTAATCTTCATATCTCTCAAAAAAAAAAAATAACGCAAGTTTTTTAATTTTTATTAAGGTTTAGTGCGCCGTTCAAGTGTAAATGGCCTGCTGACGGCTGTGTTTTGGTAACAGAAAGAACAGTAGATCCTGTAAATATTTAGCCTGCTGTTAACCGTGGTAATTCGAACCACGTCCAGGAACCACATTCAATCTTTCTTTGAGCAGCAGGAAACACATTCCATAAATGGAGCCACAAAACCCAGCTTTGTTCTTTATTAGAAAGGGCATTCCTAAGGATCCCGTCTGCACTGTTGGAGTACTGTTCTTAAAATGTGCCTGTTGCAACCTGGATATTTACAGGGAATTATTGAGGTTTTTGTTCATTTATTTTTGAAAGCGTGCTTGACAAACTCACACGCTTGCAGGAAAAAATAGGCACAATAGTAATGGTCCGAGAGGATGGTTAACAATTGGCTTAAATGATCATAAAAGGGATGTTCCCACAGACATGTTTCTGTCACATGACCGTCTTAGTGATGACATTTTGATTGGTCACACTCTGTTGTTTACACCCCCCCCCACCACCACCTTTTACCCGTTTTGCTTTCACAAAAAGTAGAAAGACTGTATAAGGTCTGGCTGTCATGCAATCAGTTTGATTGATTTGGGTTTCTTTTGAATGGAAAGAGGTCATTAGAACAAAGAACACACACTCACATCACCATCATTGATCATATGTATTACATTATTGATCATTCAGCATGTGTACTTTATGTAGAATTTACGGTATATTAGTTTTCCTGTGGCTCAGGTAGTATGGCAGTGCACTAACAATGCAAAGGTCATGGGTTAAAATCCCAAGAGAAGGCAAAAAAAAATTGTGTTAATTGCTTGAAATGTAAGTCGGTTTGTAAAAAAAGTGTCTGCTAAATGCATCAATGTGAATGTAGACGAGAAAAACGTTTCCACTGATGTCAACGAGTGACAAGCAGCTTCTTTAGATGATATCATCAATAAAGGTTTATTTGCAGATGCTTGGGGTCAAGAAGTATAACGCATTTATATGATTAGCCATCTACTTCAAATCATTGTGATGTAATGAGCAAATCAATGAGTAATCCTGATATCTAGTAATGAGTAAACCTGAAACACAGGTCACTAGGTCAGGTGGCACTTACTCTAGCTCAAAATGAGAGAAAAACTGTTTTTTAACCATAAGTCCAAAAAGGAAAAAAGAGTCCTGGTCAGACTCGAACTGGTAACCTGAATGAAAGGTAGCTGTGGTAACCACTGTAGCACTGTTACTGGCGCAAACACAATGTTGTTAATAAACTGCTATAAATACTATTCTAACAACTTGAAAACAACAAGAGGCAATATAAATGCAACTGTTTGTAATAGATTTGTGAAGTTTTTTGGGTCAATGGCGGGTCAAATGGTGCTGTACATACAAACTCAATGGCATGGTTGAATGAACCCATAGACTGGCATTCTAACTAGCTCATGCACTGTAGCAGCTATCAATACAAGACATTGTGAGAGTCCCCGGCACAGACTTGTTGTGATCATAGATTATGGCCTGCACACCAAAGGCTATTTGTTGACTTTCTACAACAGCGCTGATGCTGTGCCAGAAAGAGATGAATTTGTGAGTAAGAAAATATAAAAAAGAAGAAAGAAACAATTCTGCTAGATTGCTCACAGTTTCAGATCCATGGGTCAATGTAAAACAACATCGCACCCAACCGAACAAAACTAAATGAAAGTTAAAAAGAAAATATTGTACCCAACCCACTTTCTTATCCGCATTTTTAAAATGTGACAGTTTTTTTGACTGTTGAGGCAATATCATATGCTTTTTTTTAAATAAAATATAATTAATCTACTTAATATGCAGTCTAACACAAATAAATTAGAATAATCTAAAGTTTGTATCATGCATACTTGTAAATTATTCAAATATTCACTGCTGTCAGCATTTTGCATTTGCCGATTGTATACTTTTATACGTATATTTAAAGTTATGCTTAAATAATTTGTTTACACTCATCTTGATGTGCGCAACACTCTTCATGTGAAAACATTTAATTTTAAATGAGATTTCATGCACGTTTACGCAAAGGAGAGTCAAAAACTGCCAAACAACACCGGATAAGAACTCCCTTGAGCTCTTCTTGTTTCTTTCAAAAGACCTGGCTGCTGCCCGAATATCATGAAAAACATTTTTGGATGTCTCGTAACTGTGAACACTCATTTTGTGTCAACACGTGCTTCACCTACAGGACATATCAGGAGAAACTTGATTTAAAAGAAGCTTGGACTGGAGCCTCCCAAGATGCTTATAACACAACATTCAAAAAATATAAGAAAAAAATATGCTCTATAATTTTCTAGCTCGTGGTTATGAAAAGAAGACAAACTGTAGGTGGGGAAGCCAATGCTTTATCCTGGTTGGATCAGTCCCATGAATGGACTCATATTTTTAAGGGCAAAAAGATTGGTGCTCTCAAGAAAAGGTCGGAGTTTATTTATAAAAAGTACAACACTATTTGAAGTTCTGCACGTTAAAAAAAACACGTGTGATTGTAATATAGCACATATTTGTTGCACCTAAGAGTTTTCTAGATTCGTTTAGTAGCCTCCACTGATGTTGGACTGGAGTAGGGGTTGTGATAAGGGCCAAATGCACATGTGCGTTTTCCCAGGTGTATCTAGTGTACTGTACCTATAAGTGATCCTTTCCTCTGTGCCTGGTTCATCTTTCTCCCAAATCAAGGCCACTCGATCTGGATCTTTGGCCACATGTACATCCAAACAATTCACTGTCAAAACAAGCCACAGGTGATCAATACTACACCAAGTTTACCCAGCATTTGAGCTTCTAAAACGACAAATTATACCAGCTAAATAAAGATTAACGTTGTATAAAACATTATTTTGCTAAAAAGATTTCAAATGTGTACCAAGAAAGGTGTACCACTCACCAGAGACATTTAGCTGCCCTCCAAGAAACCATCTAACTTTTCCGTTTGGGAGATCACAGTCCAGGACTTGGTCAAATGGTTTGGTCCATGCCAGCCTTTCCTTGGCAATGGATCCCCAGAATGTTTCTGGGTCTGTGACTGAAAGTTCATGGAGGTCTGCGTAGCTCTTTCCCGCAAGATGCGAGCTGAGCGTCGGGTGAGCCGCGCTGATGCTGCTGCTACTGCTGGACAGAGCCCTCGCGTCACACCGTGACAGGAAAACAACGCGTTTGAACAAGAACTTCTTGCTTTTAAAGATAATATCGGTTCTGTAGAGTGAGTTCAGCAAACGACTGCTCACTCTTCCAGCCATAGCTCAGAGCAGTGAAGTTTCTTCAAGCTTCTGCAGCGCGGCCGTGACTTTTCCTTTGAAGAAAAGAGAGGGAGGAGGAACTTGTTGACAAAAAACTCGTTGGAAGAACTTGTCTGGGGTCTCTTCAAACCACCCCCCGAACCAGGCCATTATCAACCAAACCAGGTCATGGTTAATCACAAAGTGTTACGGCTGTCACAATCGATAAGAACACTGTCATTTCCTATAAGCGCTGGGAGTTTTGGTTGTTACGCAAGGTTGGATTGTTCGCTCATCAGGCAGCCGCAGTACATTCACTATAACACAATGCGATCAGTTTCAAAACAGACCAACATTTAGAGGCGGAACACATTAAAACGTTTTTGCAAATGTTTAATGAGCGATTTCTGTTCATGGCAGAATGCATTGAGCCGTTTTCTGAATCTGAAATGCAGCAATAATTGCTTCGGACAGCATACCATTGAACCTCGGCTCGAACAGTACTCTGTGTACTCGCTCAAGAAAGTACACATTGGTTCGACATATTGGGCATCTGCTGACCTCTAGTGGAACCTTATTTTCTCTCGCAATCACCCCCATAAATCCACAATCTGTAAAGGCTACAGAGTTTGTGTGTGCACTTGGTGGATTGGTTTACTTCCAGTAAACCACTGGAAATGGTTTACAGCAGTTTCTGTTTTCAAATGTTAAGCAACTTGTTCTTTTGTCTTCTAACGAAAGTTGAAGATTTTCTGGCAATTTTCCTTTAATCTTTATATATTTTCCAAAAACCGTTGTCTGCAAGGGCTTCCAATTTTAGATTTTACTTGAAATAAAACAGTGTTTTGGACAAATCGTTTTACATTATGTTGTTGCGTATTTTCTGAAGCCATGACTGGGTTTGTTTAAACATGCTGTTAAATAACTAACAGATACTAAGCATTTTAAAGCATAGACTAAAAAAAATATGGACAACGTGACTACCACTGGGTTAATATGAGGCAACCGTGAGCATGACATGATCGCCGCCATGACAATCAGAGAGAGGGTGCACATGCGCACACTGATGATTTTGTATTTATTTATTACTCAGTTATTGTTAAATTATATTTACAAGTTGGTAATGGGCTTAAGTAATCAATATCAACTATATTTTAATAATAGAATAGAATATTATAAATATTACTGTGCTATTATGGTATTTCATTCAATAATGAATCCTAATACACATATACTTTGTTCTCATTAATTCAACATAATAGACATTGTAATGCAGAATGTCGTGAATGTTTATACACATGCACAAACAAATTCTGTCGGTTTAAGAGATTGTGGAGTGACAGCCCTGCCCCCTCTTACTCTGTCTGAGATTGTTTGGTTGCACACCATGGACTTTCCACATTTATTTTCTCGGTCGAAGTCTCAGTCCTTTTGACCTTTGCTAAACATAAATATTTATACAAATGTGCGCACGAATGATGCAGGTGTTTTTTTTTTGTTGTTTATTTATTTAAAATCTCTTCAAGATTATGCAACTCCCTGCCTATAATAGAAAATAGAATGATGGTGGTGAGTGGGATTATGAATAGAATACTTCAAGTTAAATAAGTTTGTTGTAATAACTTTGAATATTGAAAAACTTTTTATAAAACAATTTTATAAATAATTTTTTAACCAAGAATTGAAAAACTGCTAGCCAACATTTTTTTTAGCCCTATAATGTTAATAGTCAAGAATGACTCCATTTTGCTTGAGAACAGCCTTTATTCGTTTGCTGTAGCTCTCCACAAGTCTTAAGCGTGTCTCCTGAAGAATAAAACCAATTCTTCCTGAACAAATCTCTCAAACTCCTCCAGATTTTTTGGTCGACCCACAGATTTTCTATCAGATTCAAGTCTGGGTTTTGTACCAGACTTCTCTTTGCTCATTTGTGGCTATTTCTTCACCAACAAATTAGGTTTAGGGAAGTATTCAAACCCCGTTAATTTTTTTTTAATTCTTTTTTCAGTCTAATTTTCACAGCCATTTCTTAAAATCATTAAATAAAATTATATTTACTCTTTAATGTGCACACATTTTGATAGAAAAGCACAAAATTGTTCACATTTTTAAAGATTTATTAAAAAAAGAATAAATATTCAGTATCCAGAACCTTTGACCACTACTTAGTAGAAGCACCTTTTGATCTACTGCAGCCGTGAGTGTTTTTGGGAAAGCTGCACCAAGACTTTCATACCTGGATTTGTAATCCTCTGTCATTCCTACTACAGATCCTCTCCAGTTCTGTTAGGTTGGAAGGGAGAGCGTTAGTGGGAAGCCATTTTTAGGACATTTAAGAATGAATAAAAGCAAATAATTTGATTTAAAGGCTAAAAATTATGTTTTTATAAGTCAGAGTAAATTCAATATGAATTTCAAAGGGCATTCAATTAGCATTCAGACCAGCCACAAAAATATGGCACAATTTTTTTTATTGATCATATAGGGAATCTGTACAAAGATATGATACAATAGGGAAGTAGATTACAAAATATTAATTGCAGTACATTTAACATTTT